AGGGAGAAGCAGACTGCAAGATAATAGAATCCAAGCATTGCAATTCTCCATGAGTGTAGAGGGGAATGGGAATTATTTGTGGCCATTCGCTGTATGGCTGCATAAAATTGCCCAGCTGCCTACAGACCTATTTTTGAAAGGATCCACAAGGGACCTGAGCACCACTCTGGCCTACTCTGTGTGTGATACACATTCAAAATTCAAAGTACAAGGAAGAGTACAAGTAGGACCTGCAGTTTTGTACATGAAAAACTTTTTCAGTGACGTAGTTACAGGCCAGATGCAAACCATATTATCACCATTAGACATATTTTTCATACTTCAGATTTTGTACATTGTTCAACCTGATCTAAGGGCACAGGTAAAAGCAAAGGTCTTCACCACAGATCTGGCTTCATTTCCTCACTGCAGTCTTCAGCCAGTTCAGACACACTTGGCATGTTTGCTGGTGTGGGACCATACCTCAGCATGAACAGCTCCCTCTGATTGAACGGTCTACAGTCACCCCAGCCCAGAGTGAAGTTAGGAGCAACAAAGATGACAGAGCAAGGATTATTATCCTTTCTAAGCTGGTAAGAAAGAGAGAAAACAAAGAAAAACAGATCAAAAGTAGCAGAAAGATATTTCTGAATAGTGTCAACCATGACATGTTTTGTTTAAAAGTACATTTTGGTGACAGGTGACATTTTGGTGAGAAGAATCATAATAATATACTTATAATAAAACCATCATTTGTACGGTGAAGGTAAAATTCTGCCCTTCTCTTTTCACAGAGACAAAATTACAGTTGCCAAGAAAGCAGACACACAAGTGAAACAAGCTGTTGATTTTAAAAAACATTAATCAACATAGTCGTTAGGACAGAAACAGAGGTTTAATAGAGAATAACAGCAGTACTGAAGGAACTACTGTGGAAAAAACTTTTCTTCAGACAAGAAAATGTCTCAATACAAAATCAAAGTGGCTTGTGTAAATTTAAACCAATCAATTTCCAACAGAGAAACCACCAATAAGAAGCCAAAATAGTTCTGACATTAAGATTAAACTTGAAAATACAAACAGATGTAACACAGTAGTATGTATATGGCTGTTCCACATTTTTCCCACAAAACAGTTTGAATTCCCTGTTTCATTTTCAACAAAGGGTGCGCACTCTTTGATGCATCATTAGTTAAACCACTTCTCCAAAGGCCTGCTTTAAACCAGCACTGTATGTAAGAGTAACTGAACACCAGTCAGTGCTTCATTGCCCTTTGTAAATGAAAGTTTCAAAGCTGTTTCACTGCTGATGTTGGCCAGAAGTGTGCTCTGGTGCACCTGTAACCACACCCAAGAGTGAGGTCACAGTGTACGACACGTCATAGAGTACACTTCTACATCACTGCAGCAAGGTCCGAATTAAAAAACACCGGGGATCGGCAAAAATGTACGGAGCCCAGGAGGAGACATAGGAGGGAAAAAAATCTGTGGTTGACTTTGTGAGATCTTGTAAAGTCAACCAACATTTAATTTAATTTTATTTTATATTATGTTGTCCTCCTGTGTCCCCTCGCAGGGTCCATAAAAATGAGAGTTTCAAGTTGTGCTAAGTTACTCTTTAAAAATTAGCCATAATGATGGCTGTTGGAGAGTTGCATGGGTACGCAGTGCCACTTTTCATCTTTGCACACAGTGCTCTTGTGCCTGTTTGTGTTGTTCATTTCCCATGAAAGTGACACTGTGCTGCTTTGTGTGTCTATGTAACCTCATGTGTGGGCAGAGTGTAAAGTTAGTTGACATTTATTGCACACAGTACATGTAGTACATTAATTAAAAGTAAAATGTGTCTGTGTTCATCACGTTGTGGTAGTGTAGGATTCTGTCTAAAATATCTTTTTTTAGAGATTTAATTACCAATGTCACTTATTTGAATTTCATTTCATTTACTAAAGTTTGATAAACTGCATGTTTTTTATGCAAACCATTTTATCGATCAGTCGGTCATCAATGCCATTTTCCTTTTTTTTAACCCTTGAAGAACACCACAGTCATTGATAAAGATTTTAATAACAGGACCTTTAGCAGTTACCAGGAGACATCTCCTGTTAAGCTGAGAAGAAAATTACACCCTTGCATTTCATACATTTTCGCATATAAATGCTGTTAGTATAAAAAACCACACTAGTTTCTGTGATTAAAATTGCAGCTGGTGTGAAGTTACAGTTCTTAGGCTACTTCTACAACAGCTGTTTTTGGATCTTAAATGTAATTGTAATCATGTAATTATAATTGTAATAATTTAATAATGATTGATTTAATCATAATTACTTGTAATTGTGGCAGCTGTTGTTGCGTTTATGACCCCTGTTGGTTTTTAATCAAGACGCCTGTTTCTGACTTTCCATCTCTGTAATCACAGCAGCCGTTTTGCAAATGTGACTATGTAACCCTGCCATCACTACAGTGCTCGCAGTGTTTTAATGTTTTTTTTTTCAGCTCTTTATGTATTCTTGTTTGACTTTTCTTACAATCAGTGTTTCTGTAATTGTGTTTTCCCCTTGTTCATTTTATGATAACATTACTATCTGTGTAATTGTAATTCCTGTGTAATTGTGCTGCCATGAGTGATTGACAAGGACTGCTAATAATGCCGAGTGCATGTGTAGACAGCTTCCCAACACACCATACGTGCTTTATTTTATTAACCCTGACTTCACCCGAAGAAGCTGCAATTACCCAGAGTGCACCAGCAATCACAAAATGCATGTTTAATTGCAGTGAGAGTAGAGCACTCAGCGTTTTACTTCATTAAAGTAAAAGCTCCACACAGAGCATTCAAATTAGCAGTAAATAAACGTTTACACAGCTGAGAGCAAAACTGAGATGGCAAATAAGAAGGAATGACTGTTGTTAACTGCTGGTTTTAATCCAGAGGCCTGGAAAGCACCAGAAGATATCTCAAAACACATATCACCTTCCAAACTTGAGTTGTCACAGCTTTGCCCTCTATTCTTATTGAAAAGAGAATTATTCTCATTTAAACTTTACATAACCGTATTATCTAACAAGTCCTTTAAATTAAATGACAGAATATTTGTTTGTACATGCCCTCTAGAACGACACACATAAGGGTTTTCTGTTTTGATGCTGATTTGCTGATAGAGCTCATTAAGAAAACACAATTTGTGTGTGCTCTGCAAATCGGACATTCTTCTGTTTTATGATGTGACAGTGAAAATCTAAAAGAGATTTTGATGGTCACTTTGATTGTTGGTTTGAAACAAGAAATGTTTTGGCCACCCATCAATCCAGCCCGATCTCCTCCTTGCACAGGCTTTGTCGCTTTTTGCCTGCCTTCCTCTTCTGTGCCTAATATAATTACTTTGGGCTTTATCACTTGAACCTGCAGTAAACGTGTCACTTTTGGCCACTTGCTGAAGTAACTATTCTCACATGTTATTGTGCCGTAACAGCAGTGGGGTCTCTTGGGCTCTCAGACTCCTTGATTGACAGTGTGGACCCCTTGAAAATCTCAAAATGATGGTGGTGGTGGTGGTTGGTGGGGGGGGTCTCAGAAATGTGCCACATTATTTTCAATGTATCAATTTCCTTATGGGTGTGTTAGCATCTAAAGGTAACATGATTGTTTTGGTAACATTAGCAACCTAGTATGGTCATGATTTTAACCTTTGTGCTGATTTTTTTTTTTTTTTTGGAGTAATTTGAGCTTTATGTAACAGTAGTGCTTTGTGTCACATTAAATTGCTGAATTGTCAGTCTCGTCAATCTTATTGCGGCAATGCTGCCATAGAGCCGGAGCAGTCTGCCAACACTAGCTTTGTACAGTTTGTTGCAACCGGGTGTCGGTAATTTATGTTGTCGCTTCAGGAAACGGGAAGGATGGGGCAGACCATACAAAGAGCACAGAGCAGTAGGTTCTGGTGTGAGTCTCACTAGACCCACTAGTGACTGAAAAGAAATTAGGTGGAGTAGCTTTAAGGATTAATGTCTTCAGTGGAAACCAAAGCCGTGTGTAGCAGGGAGGTCAGAAAGTATTCAGAGATAGACCATCCATGGCTGGTTTTGTTCTTTTCATGGGATTTGTTGATGATAAAAAACTGAATGATATGAAGGTAGTGATTTAAACTGTAGGCTGTTCCTGTTTCAGTAGGTGTGTGGTTGCTCCTGATTAAATTTGCAGTTACTAAATTGCTCGCTGTTCTCTCAGATGTGTGGCTGTATGTCAGTTTTAACTGGTAAACACCATCAGGAACATAAGTGCACAGTTGGTCCTCTTCACACCCCCACTGATGGCCCCACTTACATCAACATGTCCTCCTCAGCACCAGCCAACATCCCTCCATGTGTCATATGATCCCACAGGCACAGGCTGTCAGTGTCACATCCCCAAAACTGACAAAAACTGTTACTGCTGATGTATCATCATGCATTTCTGTGTCCTGTCCCTGTGTGTACTATACACCATATCAGCCTTAAGTATATGAACCACAGAAGAGTGATCAAGCCTTTAGTAGCTTAATGCAACAAGCTGAATAATGCTACTGCATGTGATTCTTAGATCTATGCATGTTATATAATGATGCTTTTTTGTGTTTTTGCACATTATTTGATCACTGATGAATGTGTGTCTTTGATCCATTTAAAGAAATAGATTATGATTTACAGTTAGAGGAAATTCACTTTGTCTTTGTTCACAACAACATTTCATCACTGAATCCTAGTGAATCAACTTTCTGGATGTATGCCATATAATGCAGTATATGCCATATTACTTAGAGTATGTAGTCAAAAATGCATAGCACATTGTGCCACCTAGTATGACTTAATGCTGTAACACATGTCCTTTCAAAGTTTGATAAATGGTGCTTGGAACTTTAATCTCTTTATTAAGTATGTCTGTATTTTTGCAGTGTTTGAGTGTTCATGAACTATTATGTTATGTTATTGTGCTGCTTTTCACTGTTTAATGTGTGTGTGTGTGTGTGTGTGTGTGTGTGCAGGGGCAGGGGGAGGTTTCAGCAAGAGGCTCAGCCATGGAGGGGGACTGCCTCAGCTGTATGAAGTACCTGATGTTCATCTTCAACTTCTTCATCTTTGTGAGTTACTTTTATTCATAGGTCATTTAACATCAGACTGAAATCAGAGGAGTGAAGAAAAATAATCAAGGGAAAAGGTTTGGGTTGACTTTGATTTGAGAATGTTTTAGAAGATAAAAATGTAAGTAAAACGTCATACAACATGTTATAGGACAGAGAAATACAAAAAAATTGTGGCCTTAAGATGCAGCCTCTTGCCTTGTTGTTTCCAGCTGTAAGATAATACAATATAGGATGAAACAAGATGAAATAGATTTTTAAATATACTTATAATGTGATTTTATTCCAAAAATTGTTATGTTTCAATGGAGTAAATACATTAAAGGCCCAAAAGCAGAATGCAGACACCAGTGAACATGTAAGAGGTTTAGTGATAATGCTGTAGGTTAGGTGTAACTGAGTGAAGGATAAGTGAACCAGAACTCAGAGGTGGAGGCTAGCTGGTGTCCTGCGGTGAGTTGGCTGGTGTGGAGTGGCTATACAATGGAGAGTGAGCAGGTAACTGAGCTGGGCTGATGGCGGACTGGAAATCCAGATGTGAGCACTGAGGGAGTGCAAGCAGCTTGAACAGGAGATCGGCCACCTGGAGAGTCACAGTGGTAAACAGTATGATCTGGTGAAGATCAAGTCAGGTGTGCCATCCACCGCGTGGCCCAGCCTAAGAGAAGGAAAAGAGGAGGCGCTCAACCCACACACATGCAGTACATCAAGAGAGACAAATCCACAATAAAACAATAACAAGCACTAGCAACTCGACATCTTGATGACAAAAATATGAACAACGGGAAATGTACAACAGAGACAAATGTGATGTTTACATTGAGAACATTTATCAGATTTCACACAGCTCTTTCTGGAGCCACAAAAGGCTTTAATCATATACGTAGATAGTAACCCCCAGTGTCTGGAAACAGACTTTGATGTTAAAAATCCCTGAATGCAAATACAGCTACTGTTAAATTCCCATGTTAGAAGCTCCCAGTGTGACTACACTTGTGGGCTGGAGCACTATGAGTTTAATGCCTTAAGTCATTGGACCCCAAGTTGCCCGTATTGGTCTTGTATGGCTGTCCTGCCTGTGTGAGTGAATGGTAGTGTGAAGTGCTTTGAGTGCTATGGTAGAAAAGCACTATATAAGTGCAAGTCCATTTAAGATGTCGATCACAGAGCATGTCAGATCACTGAACAGCATCTAAAACCCCTCCCCGTCACCTTGGAAGGGCTGTGCTTGTCAGTTTTTTGACTTTCCAAGCTGTTTTTTTAAGAGTATATCAACACTTACTGTAGCTGCTGAAAAAAGGGGAGTGTTACTCATGCAGCTGTAATCCTGGCATAGGTATCTGATACAGAGTAGATATCATTCTGACTGGATATTTAACCCTTTCTCTACCAGCTGGGTGGCTCTTTCCTTCTGGGTGTCGGTGTTTGGGTGCTGGTGGACCCAATGGGCTTCAGGGAGATTGTTGCAGCCAACCCTCTGCTCTTCACCGGGGTCTACGTCATCCTGGCCATGGGTAGCATGCTGTTCCTGCTGGGCTTTCTGGGCTGCTGCGGAGCCATCCGGGAGAACAAATGTCTCCTGCTCTTTGTGAGTCTGCTCCAGTCAGGAGTTATCTTCAGTAATGTTTATGGTAGAGATGTACCAGTCGACACCTTTGTTAGTTCTATAGTGAAGCTATTCATAGCTAGACAGAATTTATTTATTTATTTTTCTCTTTTACTGTAGATCACAGCTTGTGTCCTGAGAGTTCATACCAAAGTCACAATAAAAAATATATACAGAAGTTGTTTTGCTGCCAGTGGGGCTTTTACAGAGTACTGCCTTAAGGGTCTGAATGGTTTTGCAAATGACAGTTTTTGAGTTTTAATTGATTGGCAAAAATGTCTCAAATAGTATTTTCCTTTTGTCAGCATGGGTTACTGACTATAGGCTGATGCTCAAAATGTATATTTTATCCATTTAAATGTGTATTGTTTTTTGTGTCTGTGTGGCTGTTTTGCTTCTCTTTTTACTCGTTTTGTGTCTCTTTGTAATTGTTTGATTTTCCCACAAGAAATCTTAATAGTCACGAGATACAGGGGCTCTGGTCTCCTGATCCCTTGGCCCCCCGAGCTTGTGCCCAGTGGGCCTGTTCATTGATCCATTCATGCGCTCCTCCAGTACATGCATGTATGTTTTGCAAGACCAGAGTGACACACTACAAGTGTGCCATCTAGAGGTGATGACTGTAGCAGTGCTCATCTGTAAGACATGGGCTTTTTACTATTACTGTTTGTTTATTCAGCATTTATTTCCCCATGCAGGTCACTTACAAACAAATTACTCACAGAAAGACTTGCCAGCATACTACTGTACTGTACTGGGTACTTACGAGGGTTTTTTTATTTTGTTGATGGTGTACATTACATTTCATGTTTCTACTGTATATACATTTTACATCTTACATATGTGAAGTCATAATGCAGCATTATTAGTCTGTGCAGTATGAATCCACTGTTGGGTAACAGATTTTTTTTTAATCTTTTTTTTTTCCAGTTTTTCATGCTTATTCTCTTCATCTTCCTGGCTGAGCTGGCAGCTGCCATCCTGGCATTCCTCTTCAGGGAGCATGTGAGTACTATCTCTGGATCAGTTCACCCTGTTACTGAAGCTAAACTCAGTTAATCAATACATCGTTATGACGTAAACATGTCTCATTAGCCCCTGTAGTTAAATCTCAGCCATTTCCCAAAAAACGAGATGGAAATTTTCCATTGAGATTATTCAAATTTAGTGGCGTGTTTTAGTCCAATTATGTCGCCATGAGTCAGAATACACCAGTCCCATACAATGGGTCAGTATTGCCAGCAATATTTATGGCTTATAACTTACTTATAGCTTTTTAAATAGTTTAAGTATTGGCTAGACATCAACATAATAATATGCTTGATAGTTGTTGTCATTATACGAGTAAGTCAACCTTTACTCAGCCAGACTGCCAACTTAATTTTGAGCACCAACATAGTCCCTGTGCTTAATATTTCTTTACTTTATTTCAGGCAGTTAATATTATGTCAGTCAAACAGCACTCTCATTGCAGGAGCACCACTGTTTTTTCTTCTGCTCTGTTCAAACATCAGCTCATAGCTTCCATTTACAGACATGCTCCTTTGCATAACTTATACTTAATATGCACATTTTAAAATAATGACTACTACTTCCAGAATACATGAATATGCAAATACTGATCATTTTAGAAGTTGAACTGTTTGACACAGGGGCAGCACAGTGGTGCGGTGGTTAGCGCTGTTGCCTCACACCAAGAAGGTTCCAGGTTTGAGCCCTGGCCAATATTAGGAACTGCTGCATACCATTGTATGGGTGTATGTAATAAGTGGCCAGTGAGTGTATATGTTGATCTAATGTGAGACTGTATAAACATATTCTATTTACTGTTCTAGTCTAAAATTTCAGATAAGATAGAGAAATACCTTTGTGAAAAAGTATTATAAAATTCAGTATAGTATTACAGCACTGCATATAGTTCAATATATTATAAAATAATACCATTTTAGGAAATGTGGGGCCATGCTAAATGCAATTAGTGTAGCCTACATATAGAACCTTAAATTTATATAGTTACATTATATTCATAGGTGTTCCTAATATTCTGAGCTGGGAAGGACAAAAAGTGGACAGTGAGTGTATGGTAAAAGTTTAACAAAAGGCTGAGAAGGAGCTAACTGTGTACAGACACATCATCTTCAGAGGTGGCAGGTCAGACTGTAGATACCTGGTTACAAGGAAGAGTTTCCTGAACTGAACTGTGTCTCTGTACAGTTAACCAGAGAGTATTTCACGGGGGAGCTGAAACGTCACTATCAAGGTCACAACAACACAGACGTCTTCACCTCCACATGGAATGCCATCATGACCACGGTGAAGCAGAGTTTCTACTCCTCTTTTTACTTTTTCCTGCCTTACCAGCATCCCAGTGTGACAACAGTGCCATCCATCAGTGATCAAGGCTTACAATGCACTGTTCCCTCCCACTGTGTTGCAGTTCGATTGCTGTGGCGTAAGTGGCCCCGAGGACTTTGAGGATAGCCTCTTCAGGCTCCTCAGCCCCAACAAGATGATCCCTGAGGCCTGTTGCCAGAGGAACAGTTACCCTGGAGACATCAGTGTGCAGCACTGTGTGAGCGGCAGCGTGGCTTTCAGACACAACAAGGTCATTAGAGGAAACCCGTTTTTCTCACAAACACAATATCAAATGCACGTCATGTCAGGTTTGGAAAGCGTACAGCAATGGAAGACCCTTTACTCTGGTGAAAGTAATTTAACTTAATTAATTTAATTTAAAGGAATTTAACACTTCAATAAAAGTTCTACAATATATTGAATTTCTGTGTTATCACAGATGCATTCATGTGTAAGCAGCATTTTAATAACTGATTGTATTATTGCTACTTTTAGTTGAAGACTGGGTGATGTGTCGTGCTTTCATGCACATTATAATACAGATTATAAATCACATTATTACAGAGATGCTGTAAAATGGACACACCACAGTGTGGGTTTCTTATATTAAGAACATCATTCATTGGGGTTTCATGGCCACTTTTTTCATGCAGGGCTGTTACTCGGCGGTGGTGGACTACTTTGAGACGTACATCTACACAGCAGGAGCTTTGGCCATCGTGGTGCTAACTATTGAAGTATGTGTTTCTCACACTTTCATTCAAATACTAATTATTGCTTGTTCCTTTTGAAGGATAGGAAAGACATGAAGGATTGAGGACACAGATAAGGATGTGTTGAGACACGTAACATTTGATTTATGTAGCCCAATATCACAAATCACAAACCTGCAGTTACTTCTTAAGCAATTCTGGACCACTAGATTAGATGTGCTCTGAGCTGCTGCAGCGCAAATTGTCGGGGCACACATCAAGGAGCTAAATAGAGTCGATCTAGAATCGGTATAGCACCGATGCTCCTGTTTTATTTCCTTCATAACAGCACTACACTGGGATTTCGACCCCAGCAATGCATTGGTCAAGAGGTGCTGTGGCTTAGTTGGTTAAAGCGCCTGTCTAGTAAACAGGAGATCCTGGGTTCAAATCCCAGCAGTACCTTCTAAATGCTAGTGGTGTAGCTTGTGGTCTTTGTTAAGCCTGGTTACTGCATTTAGTTGAGCATAACACCTTTAAGTTCAGGGTTATGGGTTTGAGCCCCACATTGGCTGTGCAGTTAGCTTCTTGGTGGCATTGTTTATACAGCAGCACATCTTCAAACCTCATATTTATTTATTTTGTTTAAAGATTTAAACACCGTTTAAGATTTTTTTTCCACTGGATAAACAAGGACATAAGATATAAATTAGCTTTTTAAATAATGGAGGATTGGAGCAGAATTCTTTACAGTATGTGTAAAAGTGATCCGTTTTAACACTACTTTTCTCAAGTATGAAGGAAAAGGGATTGGAAACATCCTGTCAAACCAAATCTGTGCATATTAAATAATATATCACAGTGCATCTCATTTATCTTGAAGTCAACCAACTTTAGTTGCACAGTTGCACTTTAGTTGGTCAGTATCTGGCCATCTTTTTCTGACTTTCTTTTTCAATTTGTTCTTGCAAAGCGCTCTGGTTTTCATAAGTTTTATATAAATAAACCATCATACTGTCAATAATTTATATTATATTTATGTAAAATATGTTTTGTCTGTGATTTATGAATTTTGATGTAGAGATGAAGCTCTGAAACGTATACATTTCTCTGTTTGACGCAAATGACTGCAGGATGCATGTACAGTACAGTTGAAGGAAAACCACTGAGAGGTTTGTTACATGTCTAAAAGACCAGTTATTGCTGCTGTACAGTACATGGCTATGATATAGAATAAAACTGTCAAGGATGAAGTCAGACTGAGTGTTTACCAGCAGCTGCTGTTTGGCAGCTAAAAATGTTCGGTCAGAAACATCAGATATCACACCCTGAGCAAAGGCTCAGTTCGAAAACCACCTTTTCACATCAACAGTCATACAGGTAGAAATCATCACATGAGAGGCAAAAAATGATTTTGGCAGCCACAGATACAAGGTACAGATGAAAATGACAATTTAGCAGCATGACAGGTTGAAGTTTGAGTAACGGGCCTGACAGGTGCTTTTTGTTTAACAGAAAAATCTCATTATCAGGCATCAAACAGCAGGAAACTAACAGAGGCAGAAGTACATGAAAGACTGTAGAGAAGGCCCAGTTTTCCTTAGAAGATTTTGCAGTTGAAACTTTTAAAATAATTTGTCTGGACATGTGTCTTTGAAGCTTTTTGAAGGTCTCAAGTAGAGTGTTAGAAGATGAGGTGTTGAAAGGGAAAAGACAGAGTAACGATATATTACAAACTGTGGATTTTTGTTATTTTTTTCCTCACTGGAGGCTTAAATGATAAAATAAGATTTTCCATATTTCTGGAACTGTCAACAAATTCAGTCTTAAAACCAAAACCTAAAATGAATGCCACTTAAAGTAATAATAAAGTACCGTGTGTATCAAAGCCTGATACACTGTACAGTGAGGAACAGAAGTATTTGAACACCCTGCGATTTTGCAAGTTCTCCCACTTAGAAATCATGGAGGGGTCTGAAATTCACATTGTAGGTGCATTCCCACTCTGAGAGACAGAATTAAAAAAAAAATTCAGGAAATCACATTGTATGATTTTTAAAGAATTTATTTGTCTTGCACTGCTGAACATAAGTATTTGAACACCT